TTTTGGGAGGTTTTTTGATTACTATTTCAATCTCTTTACTTGTGATTGGTCTATTCAGATTCTCCATTTCTTCTTGGTTCAGTTTTGGGAGGTTGTATGAGTCTAAGAATTTATCCATTTGAGAGAAGCATCTTTTGAACATCCATCTCAAACACCAGGAACTGTTCTAAGATATTTTATATTGATGAAAAAAATTTTTGTTAATGCTAAGTGGAAAAAATTATAGTGTTTATTCAAGTTTATTTACACTTGAAGTGATTATTAAGTTTAAATTCATGAGTTCTCATTTTTACCTACATATACTAGCCTTTTAAAAAATGTCGTTCCATAATTAACATGTCTCAAAAACTAGGATGTGAATATGAATCATGAGATTTACTTTTTAGATTGGTAAAGATGAGCTCTGAGGTAAAATAATTGATAGCAGAGTATCTCTTTATCTTGGGTGGGAGGAAAACATAGAAGAAATATTTAAATATGACAATATAAAGCATAATGAACTTTATTCTTGCTAGAGACCTTGCCTCAACCTTAATTGTTAGCACATAGGTTATTTTCTATCCCATAAATATTCTATATCCTTTATCTTTTCTTAACACAGGATGAAAGATATTCAATATAGTCCTTAATTAAATAAAGTACTTTTAGGCCTAAATGTTTACATTAGTTATTTGAATAGTCACTGAATTAGAATGACTCTAATATAAATGAGTTTTACCAACCTGCTTTGGGGTGTTATTTAGAAAAGTGATTATTCCCTTCTTTAAAAAAATGAAAGTCCTAGTGAAAATTCCAGCAAGTCGTTTTGTAGATATTGACAAATGGATTCTAAAGTTTATATGCAAAAGCTAAGACCTAGAATAGCTACACAATACTGAAACAGACGAAGTTGAAGGGCTCACTAACCTATTTCAAGACTTACTATAAAGGTACAATAATCAAGACAGCATGATATTGGTGAAAGAGTAGACACATATATCAATAGATCAGAGTAGAGGGCCCAGAAATAGACCCATACAAATATAGTCAAGTGATCTTTGACAAGAGAGCAAAGACAATTCAATAGAGAAAGGATAGTCTTTTCAATAAATGGTACTTGACCAATTGGATATGCACATGAAAAAATGAATCTAGACACAGATCTTATATCTTTTACAAAATTAACTCAAAATGGGTCATAGACCTAAATGTAAGACACAACTCTGTAGAACTTCTAAAAGAAAACTTGAGGAGAAAATCTAGGCAACCTTGGATCTGGCGATGAGTTTTTAGATACAACACCAAAAGCATGATCCATGAAAGAGAAAACTGATAAGTTGGACATCATTAAAATTAAAAACTTCTGCACTGTGAAAGACACTATTAAGGAAATGAAAAGACAAGTCACAGATGAGGAGAAATATTTGCAAAACATATATCTGATAAAAGACCTATCCATGATATACCAAAATCTCTTTAAAATTCAACAGTAAGAAAATAAATAACCTAATTAAAAAATGGGAATGAGAGCTAAAAATGCAAAGAAGGTATACAGATGGCAAATATGCATATGAAAAAATGCTCAACATCCTTCGTCATTAGGGAATTCCTTATTAAAACAGTGAGACCCTACTACACACCTATTGGAATGGCTAAAATCCCCAAAAACTGACAAGTGCCAAATGCTGATGAGAATGCAGAGCTGGTAGGAATGCAAGATGGTACAGTTAATTTGGAAGACAGTTTGGCAGTTTCTTACAGAGCTAAACATAGTCTTACTATATGATCCAGCAATTGCACTCTTAAGTATTTACCCAATTGAGTTGAAAACTTATGTTCACACAAAAACCTGCAGACAAATATTTATAGCAGCTTTATTCATAATCACTAAAAACTGGAAGCAACCAAGATGCCTTCAATAGGTGAATGGATAAACAAGCTATTCGTACACTTATACAATGGAATATTACTTAGTGATTAAAAAAAGAGCTATGAAGCCACAAATAGATATAGATGAGCCTTAAATGCATATTGCTAAGTGAAAGAAGCCAGTCTGAAAAGGCTACATGTTATATGATTCCAACTATATGACATTCTGGAAACGGCAAAACTATAGAGACAGTAAAAAAAATCAGTGGTTGCCAGAGATTCAGGAAGAGGAGAGGAGATTTGAATAGGGGATTTTTTAGGACCATGAAACTATTCTGTATGCTACTTTAATGGTAGATACATGACATTATGCATTTGTCAAAACCCATAGAACTTTATAGCACAGAGTGATGCTTATGTGTGCAAATTAAAAAAAAATCATTTAGGAGGTTGGAGGATCCCAGGAAGGAATGAATACAGCCTATGACAAGAGAATCTAACTATTTCAGTTGTATGAAACAGCCTCCCTGAAGGGGTGGTGGGGGAAAGGTGCTGACCTAATAACTTTGGAAATGAGTCTCTAAGACTAAATGCAAAAGGAATTACACATAATCGTTGTATTTTAGTTGATAGAGTTGTTTCCCATGAGGGTACAGGTTAAAAATTCAGATACCACTATGCATATATTTTGGAATTGAACAGTTAAATAAATGGATGGGAGATTGTAGGAGCCAGATTTCTCCTTATTGGAGTAGGAATTTATGGGTAAGCAAGGGAAAGATGCTAGAATTATCCTTTTGGTGATAGATTAGAGTTGGAGACAACAGTGTGAACTCATGTTTAGCTTAATATAGACACAGATTGTTACATAGAAAAATATTATAGATATATGTATACACACAGATTAGCGTATACATATATATTTCCTTGCTCTGTCAGCAGAGGTCCTAAAAGAAGTGACATCCTGGTAGTAAGACCTAGCCATGAGATCTTTGTTTCTAATGCCATTTTCAAATAAAAGGAACCACGGCTCCTTGGAGAAATGGCTGATTCTAGGACTGGGGTAGGAAAGATATAATATGAATCTAGAGAATCGTATTTATACTGCCAGAAAGTAAAGAAGTGCTCAAAAAAAAATCTACATTAATAGGGGTATGTCAAATGAACACAAGAGCCAACTGAAAGAGCCTCCAATGGCCAAAGCTGAAACAATTTGAATAATAAAATAGGTAAAATAGTATTGGATTATAACCCAAAGTATAAAATAAATATCCATGAATCCAAACTGATATAAATAAGTAAATGGGGGAAAAAAGACAAACTTCCTGGGAAGAAGATTTCCAAATAATTTGTGTAGATGATCTGCCCTCAAGGAGGGGAAGCTGAACTTCCCACTCCCTAAGTATGGGCTTCCCCATGGTGACTTCCTTCCAAAGAATTCAGTATGGAAAGAAGGGGAGGGAAGAGTAACTTTACATTGGAGAAAACTGAAAAACTACCTCACCCAGGTGATCAAGGTCAACATCAACAGTGATAAGTCGTATTAATTAATAGTATGTACCTTAAGCCTAGTCTAATCAAGAGAAAAATATCAGACAAATCCCAATAGAGGGGCAGCCTACAAAATAACTTGACTAGTATTCATCAAAACTGTCAAGGTCATCAAAAACAAGGAAAGTCTAAGAAACTGTCACAGCCAAGAGGAACCTAAGGAGACATGACAACTAAATGTAATGTGGTCTTCTGGATGGGATCCTGGAGTAGAAAAAGGACGTTAGGTGAAAACTAAGGAAATCTGGATAAAATATGGACTTGAGTTAGTAAGAATGTATTGATATTAGTTCATTAATTGTAAAAACTGTAGTATACTAATACAAGACATTAATAATAGGGGAAACTAGGGGCAGACTATATGGGAGCTCTGTACTATCTTCTCAATTTTTCTGTAAATCTAAAACTGTTTTAAAAAAATAGTCTATTAAACAAGTGAAAGTACTATTTGAAGGTCTCACAATAACCCAGTGGTTTCTGTCTCGCCTGCAGTTTTGAGAGTGTTTGCTGCCTTGCTGACTCTACTTCCCTCTCAGACATCACTTTTGATGGCAATCCAATAGCTCAAGAGTCATGGTACAGACACACTGTCCTTCAGAATATGATGCAGCTGCGCCAGCTAGATATGAAGAGAATCACGGTGAGAACTCTTCTCAAGTGCTTACCACGTTGTTTTCCTTAGTGTGGATTAGGAAATTGACGTGCATATTCTTTGCTTGAAATGCTCCTTCATTTTGATGAACTATGGATTATCATGACTGTATACTTCATAATTATAATTATGAAGTAATTATATAAATTATAGTTTATATAATATAAATTATTATCTTATAATATATAAATGAAAATATAAATTATTATAATTTATAAAAATATTAAAAAATTAGATTTTTTTACCGCTTGTCCCCAATCCCCAGTTTCATTGAATAGGGCTTTTTAAATTCCTAGTTTCCTATTTAAAATAATCATCATGCTTGTTTTTCATTCTTGCTTAATATCCAACTAATAATTTACTTTGGAGTGGTTGAGTAAAAATCTCATTGGTGAGTTCCGTAGTATAATGGTTAAAAATATGGGTGCTGGAGCCAGACTGTTTGATCATTTTCTAGCCATAGACCTTTGGCAATTTACTTAACCTTTCTATATCTCATTTTCCTCACAGTAATAGGGGGATCATAATTATATGATGTCACAGGGTTGTTGTCAAGATAAAATAAAGCGCTAAACCTTAGAACAGCGTGAGCTCCTAGGAGGCATCATGTGGAGCTGTTTGTTGTTGTTATTGATGCTATACCTCTCCAAGTAGGTCTTTGTTTATTGGTTCTGTCTCCATGTAAGATATTTTCCACACTTAGATGTTCTGATATGGCTCCTGATCTAAGTGAAATGATACCCCTCTTTTGAGATGTACAATGCACTTTAGCATATTATAGACTCCAAGAAGTTCTGTAATAAAGAAACTTGCCTTAATTTGTTTCATTGCATCTCAAATTTATTTGAATATTTTATTTTCTCAGAAAATGCCTATTAATAATCTCAGTTTGATAATCTCTGACCTAGAAAAATATCCTAAGCCTCCACCTGTTTTCCTCCTTCTAGATTCTGCTAATTTTGATGTGGATTCTGAGTGATCAGCTAGGTTTATTATTTATTAATTGACTCATTGCCTGTATACCAGTTTCACAATGTGTGCAGTTTACATTTCTCCCTCAGCAGTATTATGGAAACCTAAGGTCTCTAGCAGAGAGTTAAAGTGTTGATGAATTTGTCAATACCAGGGATCTTCTAAGTTCTGCCTCTCTCTTTGTTCCAGCACAGAGATATGGTTCTTGGTCCTCTCAGTTCGTTCAGATCTATACTGTCAACACTGTTTTGTATTTTTACCCTTAGCTCCATGTCTTTCTTGATTAAGCAGCTTTGGTACTTCTTATTGCTTTTCCTGTTGAGGTTGAAACGAATGGGGTAAGAAATGAAGCTAACCCATTTATATAAATTAGTACTTAATTATGTATTAGGTTTCTCATAGTGAATTTATATGTGAGTCTTGTCTACCCAATTAATGTATATAGTCCTCAAGGGCAGAAGCCATTCTTCTTCTTCCTTGCCTGATACATACAGATGTTCTATACATATTTATTTCCTTTCCTTCTCTCTCACACACAATGCTGAGGATATAGTAATGTTCAATAAAGACTTGTTGATTGAATGAAATTGACCTACTTTCATGCCTTAAATAAAGGAGAATAACACTGTGTATAATCATTGTCCTTGTACATTGCATAGGGTGTGTTTACCTGTAAGGAAATGAAGGAAGATCACCTGGGATTAGAGCAGGGCCAGCTGTTCTGCTAAATTCAGAGCGGCAATCCTTGCACATCTGCTCCTCCACTGTTCATTTTTAGAAATTAAAAAAATTCTTTTTAATGGAAACAATCTCAAAGTTATATAAAAGTTGTAAGTACAGTACAAAGAACTTTTTTTCTTAAACCATTTGAGACTAAGTTGCTGACTCGATTCCCCAACAACCCTGAACACTTTTGTGTGTATTTCCTACAAAGACATTCTCCCATATAAATCCAGTATAACCAACAAAATCAGAAAATAAACATTGAATAGTTACTAGTGTCTAATTATCATACCACATTCAAATTTTATCAGTTATATCAATAATGTTCTTTATAACAAAATGATCCAGTTTGGAATTATACATTGCATATAGATGCGTTTTGTTGTCATGTCTCTTCTATCGCTCTTTTTCAGGAATAGTTCCTCATTCTTTCCTTGACTTTCATGACTTTGACGTTTATGAAGATTTAGATCAGTTATTTTGTAGAATGACCCTCAATTCAAGTTTTTAAAAAAAATTATTTTATTGAAGTCATATTAGCTTACAACATTGTGTAAATTTCAGGTGTACATCACTATATTTCATTTTCTGTATGGACTGCATTGTGTTTACCACCAACAGTCCAGTTTTTATGCGTCACCATACATATGTGCCCCTTTACCCCTTTCACCCTCCCCCCGCCCCTTTCTCTTCTGGTAACCACTAATCTCTTCTCCTTATCTATGTGTTTGTTTATCTTCCACATATGAGTGAAATCATACGGTATTTGTCTTTCTCTGTCTGACTTATTTTCCTTAACATAATACCCTCAAGGTCCATCCATGTTGTCGCAAATGGCATGATTTTGTCTTTTTTATAGCTGAGTAGTATTCCATTGTTTTTTTGATGTTTCTTCACAGTTTTTAGTTGTAGATCTTGGGTATAAATATCACAGAAGTAATTTTGCGTCCTTCTCATTGCATTCTATTAAGTGATGTGTAATTTATATTTATCCCTTTATTGATGGTGTTCACTTTAATTAAGATGGTGTCTGCCAGGCTTCTCCATGTAAAGTTATTCTGTTTCCTTTTGTAATCCCGTTCCTCATAAAATTTCAATTTATTCATTTATTCATATCCATATGGACTCATGCTATTTAGTCTCGCCTTTTGTTTATAACTTTCTAGTAACTTTAGTATGGAAACAATATACCATTTAAAAGACTTTTTATAACAGGGTTGCAAACAGTGGCCCATGAGCTGGCCACTTTTTTCCTAAATAAAGTTGTATTGGAACACAGTTGTGCCCATTCACTTATGTATTATCTATGTCTGCTTTGATGCTGAAATGGCAGAATTGAGCAGTTGTTTAAGAAACTATATGGCCTACAAGCCTAAAATATTTACCATCTAGCTAGAAAAATTTGCTGATACCTGTTCTATAACTATATTTTCTGTTTAAAAATATCTTGGTTAAATATTTATGTAATTCACCATATAAACATTCTAGCTGGGGTGGATTACACAAATATTTAATGAACTTCTATGCACTAGGGCTGTGGTTCCCAAACTGTGTGCCAAGGATGCTGTAGTGAACTCACAGGGGCACTGTGGAATACTTTTAATTTTCAAGGGAAACGCAGTGGTATTTGATATCTGTGAGACACTAAGGAAACCACTAGCTCAAGGTAGTGGACCGTTTCCACATTAGATGAGACTGTTTCTTTCTACGGCATCGTATCTCTGCAAAGCTGAGCTTTCGGTGCTTGTTGTGATAAAAACAAACACCACGGCCAAATCAGTGTGGAAGAGGAAATGAAGGCGGCAGTGTCCAATTTAATTCCAATGTTTGAAAAGTTGTGTAATGCCCTACAGGTGCACATAGTCTATTGCTAAGTAATTGTGGTTATTTAAGAAGGGTATAAAATATTTTTTTCTTTTGATTTACATGTATTATTATGTTTTCAAATGACTAAGTTGCCAAAACATGAATACTTATTAAATTGTTTACTAAGCACTGAGTAAATACAGCTGTTTACTAAGCACTGAGTAAATAGAGCTGTAACACATTTCTTTTGACTTAGAGGCACTATGAAAAAATTCCTGAGATGCTCTTAGGCACCTTGAACTGAAAAATTTCTGTATGGGGGTCTGTATTAGACACTAGAGGTGACAAGATCAGAATCATGATTTGTGCCCTCGAGTTACTCACAGTCTAGTGCAGAGGCAGGCATGTAGCCAGATTATAACGCAAAATGACAAGCTAGTTAGATAAGATAGATTAATAGATATGTATGTTTCTGTATGCACACTTACACACACGTGCATGCACACATACATGGCACAATGATATTGATGGCACTCCTTCGTTTACCGGAGTAATAGGAAAAGTTCCAAAGGAGCAAATACTTGACTTGAGACTTGAAGAGTGGCGAAGAAGAAGGAAGATATAACTGTGGAGAGTGTTCCGGGGAGAGAGAAGGCAACCAAAATGCAAGGGGATGTGAGAGAATATAGCAACTGATAGCACTTCAGCATGGCTGAGCATTGAGTGTACATGGGAGAGAACAGCAGGAGAAAAGGATGTCTGACAGGCGAGGGGTAGGCCATGAAGGGCATTTTATGTAATAATAAAAAGTTTAGATTTTTGTCTTAGATGTAATAGGAAGCCCTTGAAGAGCTTAAGGTAGTTAAATTGGATTTGCCTGTTGAAAGGATTGTCGATCTAGTAGCAGCCCACAGGATGAATTGGGGAGGATGGGGTGGGTGATGAGAAGAGGAGCAGGGAGATTCGTCAGGATAAGAGCTTCTGGGGGTCTGATCCAGAGGAATGGCAAGACACAATATGATGCCAATAGATCGTATGAATTGCTGCCTTCAATTCGTATTTTGCTTTTGTTATCTCTGTTAAGAAGAATGGCTTTTAGGCTGTAAAGAGTAGAAATAAACATTAATAAGATGAAAATGAAGCCTAGGATAGGTGAATAAATAAGTTTTGATCCAGACTCATCTAGAGCAGGGGTTGGCAAACTATCTGTAAAGGGCCTGATAATAAATATTTTAGGCTTTGGGGGCTATACAATCTCTGCTGAAAACTACTCAACTCGCTCATTGTAGTGTGAAAGCAGGCATGGACAATATGTAAATGAATGAGCATGACTCTGTTCCAATAAAACTTTATTTACAAAAGCAGGTGGCAGACTTGATTTGGCCTGTGGGCTGCCGTTTGCCAATCCTTGATCTAGAGCACTGAATAAACATAGTGAATAAATTGCTAGACCATTGAAAGTTGTATCTGAGCAGCAGTGTAGAATA